CAGAATACTGCCCTTGTCACAGGCTGAATCTCGATCTTGACATCGTCGACATTGGAACGCAGGAGCTTCTCAGTCTGAAGATGGCTGCCACATCTATCAAACGGCTCAAGATGGAGCCGCAGACTCCCGTCGATGGCACCGAGACATTGGGGCTCTTTGAGAACTTAGAAGAACTTCACATTGTTTGCCCAAATGAGCCCAGCTTGGGCCTTTGCGCCTTCCATTGGATGTTCTACCATGGCCCCTTGGACCAAAGGAATGTCATATTGATCGACAAAGTCCATGATCAAATGACCACCTTGTTTGACTGGATTAGGGAAGCTGAAGAGCGCTTCGAGCCGCACCGAGAGGAGTTGTTGGCTGTAATCCAGGACGGTGACAGCGAATTCACTTCTGAGGAAGAAGAGGACGGCAACTACCCATGGCTACCCATTATGTATGCTCTCAAGGGGTATCTCGGGGGACAAAACGGGGGAGGAGAAAGCCACAATGCTGAGGGAGCTTGAGAGAAGGAACGCAGGAATAGGGTTGGGCTTCACGGAATGTATGTAAGGGAAAAGAACGGCAACAACACTGTGACTGGACTACCAGACACAGCAATACTTGGCTCCTGGAGTAATATACCGGTTCAGTTCTTAGTACATTCTCTGCTTGGGAATCAAGTAAATAGGTTCCTGAATCAAAGCCACTTCTCCTCCTTCTTCGTTTGTTTCACGGATACAATGCATGTCTTTCTGGTTGTGGAACAGTAGAAATCTCAGCACTTCGACATCTTGTGTCCCAAGTTAATTCTCACCATCCATTTGCTTACTGCGTCTGAGATCTGGGCGCAAATCATCAAGGGACACGAATGTCGTGAATAGAGGTGTCAACGAACTGGTAACCGTGCAATGACCACTCACCATTGATGTTGACGAGTGGACCGGGTGAGCGCCCGAAACCGGAACGGATGCGGGCATGAGTGAAACTCTCCTCGGCGTTGGAGTTTGGGAAGAAGCGGCCCTAATGAATTCAGCATAGTCACGAGATACGCAAAGTGTTTGCAGCCTATACAGAACAATGGAAGTGTCCAGCATCCATTCAGGGCACGGTTTTTCGGTCCTCCTACCTTCACTTTCTGCAGGTACGTACCTACCTCTTGAGTTAATGACTGACCGGCTGCATTGCGACAAGTTGGAAATGCCCCTGTCGCCAACTCTCTCCTCGACATCACTTTCTTGTCGGGCAGGTTCCCACGCACTCGACCTCCCGCCGGCTTTCCTGCCGTTCATCGTCGCGCATTCAATTGCAACTCAAGAGCGAAGTATCTCCAGAACCTGTGGTTATCTATCTTTGCGCCTTCAGACGGCACTCCTCTCGTTCTGGTCACCTCTAGTCCCTAAGCCGACCTTGCTCCTGCGTTAGGTTTTGTCGCCCTTCTGTCGACGGTGCTGATTCCCACCAATCCCTACGAGCTTTTGACGGCAAACTTCCGCGTTTTACAACTTCTTCGGCTGGGTAGCAACGGAGGCTCCCATCTTTACCATCTTCTCCAAGCGCAAGGCGGCGCTAAAGCAAACACCATACATCATATCTGGTACCGGTATTTGTTGAACGTGATTACACCTCTCCTGAGCTTTTGATCCAAGCCGGTAAAAATATTCAAACATGAAAGGACTCAACATTTTTCTTCTACTCTAGACCTTGAACAAAGAGCTAACGATTTTGTGTCTGTCAGGCAAGAAAAGCTCCGGAAAATTCCAGCAAACACGATGGCTGAAGGGGAGCGCACCTTCCACCCATTTCCGCGCCTCCCGGCTGAGCTCCGTCTACAAGTCTGGGAGCAGTCGCTGGACTATGAACGTGAGGTTGATATCACGGTCCGCGTCGAATTTGTACGAGACCTTTCAGCGCGTATTGTTTTACTCCTGGGACTCTTGCCTCTGCTAGACATCTTCTCTCGCGAACGTCTACCCCTAAAATCCTTCACACCTGCCGGGAGGGCCGCTACTCATGGTTTTATCAGAAAGCCTTCTCGGAAATTCCACTCCAAGCAGGAGCGAACGAGCGGAGCTATGTGTGGGTCAATGAGGATTGGGATACTATAAAAGCTGGGAGGGACATATTGTCGTGGTGCATGTCCGGGTCCAGGAGGAGCTTGAAGTCCATGCAATACCCGCATCTTGCGTATAGCGCTCTCGGTATCGTGGAGTTCCGGTGTCTCAAACATTGCGCAAGCCTCAAGCGGGTTACTGTGATCCACAAACGTAATCCTTATTATGACTGGCGTAGTAAGGTCTTCCCAGGCTGTCCAACTACTCTCATCAAAGGGTTCACAGTGAGGGCTGGTCCAGATGACATTGAGAACCTGGACGGCAACGAAGACAGTGTGGTGGACAGAGCTCGTGAAATTCTGCACGAGGTGTGGTCTGTTCAAATAATCCCAAGCTTTTACGACAGCAGATATGTGCCGTCCTCTGGCCAACTCTTCACCTTGGATATCTAGAGCGAGATAGACCTGAAAGATCTCTCCTTAGCAAGTACGGTCAAATTTGTGTTGTCCCGTGCTTGCCGTGGTGTACACGCGATATGGGAGGCAATCTTCAGACAAGTCAGTCTTTTGTGTCGAAGGTGTTGTTGTTGTTGTTGTTGT